AATTTTAACTTTTGACCGGATTTTAGATAGAAATACTCGTATGTGCGACGGTCGGTCTCTTCTTGCTGTGGGCTGGACCACACGCTCCTGCAGCGATACGCTGCTTTTTTTTTTTTTTTTTTTTTTGTAAGGACCACTCGTAGTTCAGCACGCTAAGGCTGTTGACTACTTAACCGGACAATCCCTGCGATGGCCACTAACTAAAGTTAAGGCCCCCAGCCAGGGCAACTAAGCTAAAATATTAAAACTAAAACTAAATGACCGCATCGTTGAGGCTGTGGGGTACGAGCCTCGGCTCAGCGGGGCCATTTCGGGGGGGCAGCAAGTCGGGGCAGGCTGGGTCTGATTATTTACGGGGCTGTTTAGCGTTACTATTTGCTCAGCTACTCGGGCTGGCTCCATATGCAAGGGATGGGGGGGATCGTTACCAGGACGTCGCGACGGGCCTCGACGGCGGGGCCGGAACGTGGAACGCGGTCTGTGTTTGTGTTTCCTCAGAGTGCTAGTTTCCCTACGGCTTTCCTGTAGGATGGTGGTGGGGTCGTCGGGTTGGACTAGGGTGTGTCTGGGTCGTCTAGTGCGGGATATTTGGGAAGGAGTGTACTCGGTGGCCGATACTATGAGGGGTTCGAGTGCTTTTCTGCAGATTCAAAGTAACGCTTGGTCAAGCGCTTCATGAACTGCTTCAAGGTCGGTATTCTGAGATCGAGGTGGAGTCGATCGTTCCTCAGGCACCAGGGGGCGGATGTGGCCCTTCGGAGAAAACGGTTTTGGAGGGTTTGCAACCTATGGATCGTGTTGTCGTGTGCTTGCGCGAATACCGGGCAAGCGTACGTCATGATGGGGCGTATGCACGTGATGTAGATGCGTAGCTTGCATTTGAGTGATAGTTTACTGCGTGCATTCAGCATGGGGAAGAGTCTACCGAGGGCGAAAGCGGCCCGCGAGCGAACCGTCTTTATGTGCTCACGAAAGCTGAGGTGGTGGTCGAGGATCACCCCGAGGTATTTGGCTTGCTTCTCCCAGGGGATCGGCTTACCGAACAGGGTGATCGGGGAGGGTAGAGTGAGATGGCGAGTGCGGGGTTTGTTGAACAGTACCGCCTGGCTTTTGTCGGGGTTTACTTCAATTCTCCATCTCCGGAACCAGTCGCCTAGTGTGGCTGCGGAGTGTTGGAGTTTTTTAGCTATGTGAGTTGGATTTCTGCCCGAGTGATAGATCGCTGTGTCATCGGCGAACAGGGAGAGTTGGACTTGGGGGTGTGTTGGGATGTCGCTGGTGTACAGTGTGAACAAGAGGGGGGAGAGCACAGCGCCCTGTGGTACGCCGGCTCGGATTATCCGGGGCGTTGAAAGTGCTCCTTCGATTCGGTATCGAAAGGAGCGGTTCGACAAAAAGTCTCGTAGGATGAGCACGAGACGATCTGGCACGCCGAGTTGGTATAGCTTGAAGATCAAGCCATTGTGCCAGACTTTGTCGAACGCTGAGAGTTCCTCCTTTGTGGCAGCGAGACCTGTCGTTGCGGACTAACCTGTAGTTCGCAATTTTCGGATTTCGGACGTGTGGCTTAAGGAAGGATTCTTGGATTAAGAGGATGTCTATACGATGGTCGCGGAGGAATGTGGCGACTTCGTCGCGTTGGTTTTTAAGACCATTGGCGTTGAAGAACCCTAACCTAAGGGCTGTCGGCTTTAGCCTACTTGCCGTATTCCTATCCATACTATGGTTAGTGGGATTGGAGGGACCTAATGGCGGCGTGGACATCAGGGTACTTTTCGTACGCCTGCCGAATGGCCTGAAGGTTGCCTCTGCATGCCTTCAGTTCCGTGGCTAGTTGGATAGCCCGGGGGGTGTAGAAAGCACAAAATGTGCTTGATATTATTTCGAAGGGATCGAATTCGGTCCCTTGGGCCGGGGAAGTCGGAGCTCGCCGCGCGGGTGGCAGCTGGGGTGGTTTTGCATGGGGGGCCTTCGGAGGGGGCATGGGGCGGTCTATGGGTCTCGGGAGGGCCTAGGGTGCCTGGGTGAGGGGAGGGATAGAGCGGTCCATCAGTCCGGGTATGGCCGGTTGTTGGACCGTCCTCAAGGCCGGGAAATGGCGCTGGGTGTTTAATACGCTCCAGGGGCTTGGGCGTTGGGGGGCAAGGGGGGTTTGGGGGTATTCCCTTACTTGGCGGGCGATGGCTCGCTTCACCAGCTTGGGCGTCGAGGATTTGGGTGCTTTGGGGCAACCCCTGTAGTTGGCTGGGTGGCCAGATTGGCCGCACAGCACACAGCTGGGTGGCTCTGTGCAGAGAGAGCGATCTTTGGGGCGGGGGCAGTCCATCGTTGGGTGGTCGCCTAGGCACTTGACGCACCTAGGCTTGCCGTGACAGTTCTTGGCCGCGTGGCCATATAACTGGCATTTGTGGCATTGCGCCATGTTTCCATTTTTGTGGGGTCTCTCCACCTTGAGGCCGGAGAGCCCACAAATTTTTGTGATGGAGAACACCGGGTGGTGTTTCTCGGTGGGAGCGCACGAAGCGACCACCACGTTATAGCGGGTCCCGTCCTTTTTGTACATCCTATGTATATGGATGACTGGGACTCCTTGGTCCTGAAGGTCTTGGGAGATCTCTTGTTCAGGGATTTCCGCCGGGATATTTTTGAAGACCACTCGGACGGGGCGGTCTTCTTTCATTGTGTAGGAGTGATAGGGGACTTTTCTGCCTATCAGTAGGGCGCTTAGAGCCCTGAAGTCCTCGTTGGTAGGGACCACTACCTTTATGCCCTGCTCGACAGCGCGGGCGTAGGTGTAGGCAATGCGCTTTTCCGCACATGCCTTGGACACGTCAGTCCACATCCCTTTGTCGTGGATGAAAAGGGGCGGGGGGATAGATTGTTTGCGCGCTGGGGCGCTCGAAGAGGCCTGTGAGGCCGGGGGCGCTCGGGGGGCCTGAGAGGCAGGGGGGACTTGAGAGGGCTGGGGGGGCGAGGGGGCTTGGGGGGCTTCAGAGGTCGAGGGGTTAGAGGGCTGTGAGCACACAGCCATTGGGCTGGCGGGTCTGTGTTCCGCCGGGGAGGTAGCCTTCTTGGCCTTGGGGGTGGGGACTGAGGGCATAAGTTTCTTTTTCCGCTTGCCCTGCACCAAGGTAAATTCTTGGTCGTCCGATGAGAGGTCATCGGATGCTAGGGGGGGCGCGGGTCTCTGGTCCTTTGAGGGAGGACTTTTAGGTGGAGAGGAGAATCTGAGCGGGGCGGTGCCTGCCCGGTGGGTAGGGGCGGAGTCGGGGCGAAAACAGCGCGGTGGCGTTCGCGATCTGTCACGGGGGGCGTCTGGCTTAGGTCTCCTAGGGGGAGACCCGGAATTGGGCCGAAGCCTAATGTCCCGATTTTCGGGCGAGGAGGTGGTAATGGGGTGGGGGGGGGGCGTTGGGCCTTGGGTTTTAGTCCCAAGTCCGTCAGTAGGTCTTGGAGGCGGGCTATGAATGTGTTCTGGAGGTCTGGCCTTTCGGCCAGGCTCCTTAGGATGCCCTCCAGCAAGTCTTTAGACATTGCGGAGGTGGGGGGGGGGGGGGGGGTCTTAGCGAAGCTACCCTACGGCAGTTCCCCAAAAAGAGCCCACCCTTAACGTTTTCCTAGCGTTTTAGCGCCCGAGAAGAAAACGCCAAACAAACTCGGGCGACGCTGCTGCCGGTGGCCTGAGGGGCCCTGGTTCCTATCCCTCTGGGTGGGATATACCCAGTGGTGTGTAGCCTCACTGCCGGGTGTAAGCAGTGAGGTGAGTGCCTACGGTGTGCCCTAAGCTTGTAGCATCCGTTGCCAGTCTTAATGTGCACCGGGTCCCTATGCGCCTTTACACGAGTGTGTTAAGGCGGAGCTGTGGAGAGAGCGGGTTAGACGGCTGGGTACAGCTAGGGGAGCCCCCAGAACTGTGGTCCCAGCGCCCTTCCGAATTTTTTGGCGCTACCCTGAAGGGGTAGACGTCGGTGGGCTCGGAGCGCACACCACCTGGGTTGTTGTCACCGTTAGGTTGCCCCCAGGTACCGCTAAACCGCGGATTTGAGACAAAGCGCGAACGACTGTTAATTAGAAACCAGAGTACCGTGCTTGCGCCTTGAAAAAGGCGTGCACTGGCGATAGTAGCGAAGCGGCGGAGCAACCACGTGGCGGGGTGAGCACGTGGCGAGATGAGCACGCGGCGGCGCGACCACGTGGCGGAGCGAACACGTGGCGGAGCGACCACGTGGCGGGGCGAGCACGTGGTGGAGCGACCACGTGATGGAGCGGCCACGCGGCGGAGCGACCACGTGGCGGAACGAGCACGTGGTGGAGCGACCTCGCGGCGGAGCGACCACGTGGTGGAGCGGCCACGCGGTGGAGCGGCCACGCGGTGGAGCGACCTCGTGTCGGACGAGCACGTGGCGGAGCGAGCACGTGGCGCGCTGTGTGGCCGCGTTGTGCGGCGGCGGGGCTGGAGCTCGGAGCGGCGGGCGGAGCGTTGGAGCGTGCGCACGCGGCGGGAGCCCGAAGCGGAGTGCGATACGCTGCTAGCAATCGTTAATAGATATATCTGGCGACGTGCTTGGTGGGCTCGTCGGTGGCCATCAGCGATCTGACCGTGGCCTGCGCTGCCTTAGAGGTGGAGGCGACGGTCGGTCTCTTCTTGCCGCGGGCTGGCCCGGACGCTCCGGCGGCGATACGCTGGTAGCAATCGTTGATATACGACGTGACGGCCAACATGGCCTGGATATACCTGTGTCCGGTTGCCCTTGCTTGTAGAACTCAACGTCGACGAGGTGTTGAGCGAGGAGAATGTTTACGCCCTCCATGGCGTAATCTTCCTATCAAAAGTTTTCTAAGCGGTCGTATCACTCCGTAGTCATCTCTCTGTCCCCGACTGGGGGCGTGAGGTTGCACGAACTAGGCCAGCCAGACCGATGCCTGTTTCGGCGATGTCCGGTCGCTACCTGCGACTGCAGGCGAGAGGTTAGGATAGTCGTTTGGTTGTTTGCACCGCTATGAGCTGCGCTCTAGCCGGGCGAGCCCGGCGAGCAGCGACCTGTTTGCGGCGCGGGGTTGTGTATAGTGGGAAAGCGCCGCTGGGGCCCGCGCTCGAGCCAGGTAGACCCGGCGAGCGGCGGGCTGTTAGCAGCGCGCGGTCGTATCCGGTGTCGTGCCTTAGAGCAGATCTTCCAAATGTAGACGACGTACTTCGTATTCTTCTTCATGTCCGCCTTAGAGCAGACAGCCTTGAGCAGAATTATCGGATATTATTTGTAATGAAACTTGAATTTACGTGCCTTCGCAGCGGAGTGCAGGCGTAAAGTTAACAATTAACGGCTTTCATCAGTCGCATTTATACGATCAGGTCCAAGCGACAGCAGTGTTGGGCGGCGTAAGATGCGGTACACGCTTCGGTCCAATCTGGCAGTAACCCAACACTAGACATGCGAAATGTAGCTCACTGAAAAGAAAAGAGAGATACAGCTCTTTTGATCAAAAGAGCTATATCACTCTTTTAGCTCTTTAGCTCACCGAATAACTCTTTTAACTCTTCAGCTCAATTGATCGAATTGAGTGAAACGAGACAAATAGCTCAACGGCTCTTTATAATCTTTTAAGTTCTTTAGTTCATTTGCGAGCTATAAATAAAATTAGACTCATTGGTTTGTTTTGTTCACATATTTTGTTATATAAAAGCCAATGATTTTCCTTCATACTTGAACAGGCTTAGGACTGTCAATCTAAATGAATCATCAATGATATCATTTAGATTGGCGTATTTAAAAATCAATCAGCTTTTTATAATAATTGTGCATGGACAAATCAATTTCTAATATTTACAATAATTTTACAAGTTCGTTGTACGTTGGGACCTTTCTTTCATACGTACGTATTTAACTGTTCTGTGAATTACAGTTAATAAATAATAACTGCGACAATTTGCTGGTAGTAAGCCGACTTCGTCTTTCATTTAAAGTGTAACCTGCTTTAGAAAATATTCTTTCGCAGGGAACAGATGTAGCTACCAAGTTTAATCGTTTTTGCACATAATTAAATAGGTGTGGATATATGGAGCGCCTTTCGTGCCACCATGTAAAAGGGTCTTTTGTTCTTGCTAGGAGAGGCTCTTGTATGTAGTTATTTAATTCGATTATTCCTGCAGCTGTTGCATTTGCTGGAGTTAATTTTGCCACTTCATCGTCAAACTCCTTCCAAACAGATGACGCACTAGGCGTCGGCGTTTGCTGAACCTCTTCTATGGGTGCTGTAAGAGGCTGGGCACATGTTTCAGTACTTGCGCCTACTTTTAATTTCAAAGTGTTCAAAATTTTTTCGTAATTTTCGCGGTCCTTAAAACTTCTTCCTTTAAACCTAGGATCTAAAATCGTAGCTTCTGCATTTAATTGGTTTAATTCTACGTTAGCAAATCGCCGATCTATTTCTTTATTAAGTGCCTCTAGCATACACTTTATTTCTGGCAGATTTATTTGTTGTGGGTCTCTTATTAAATTTTTAATATGCTGTGATATGATTTTTGCAAGTGGTATTACTTTTGATAAGGTAACATTTTTCTCTGCGCTTATTTCTACTGTTATTTCGTAGAATAACTTTAAAATTGGCACGGCGGCTGCAATTACGTCCCAGTCATTATCATTTAAATTTAATTCACTTCTAATGAGTGCTACTGTCGTTATAACAGCGTCTTTTAAAATCAATATACGTGACAGCATGTCATAGGTGCTATTCCACCTTGTCGACACATCCTGCTTCAATTTTGGCTGATTCAGTTGGTTTTGAATCTCTTCAAATTTTTTTTGGGCTTGAGAGCTTCTTTTGAAATATTCTACGATTTTCTTGACTTTGTTGATTGTAGGACTAATATGCATTAGTGCTCCTTGCACACAAAGATTTAAGGTATGGGCAAAACATGGAATGTGACGCCAATTCGACTTAATTGCTAAAGATATGTTTGCAGCATTATCACTTGCGATTGCAGTAATTTTATTATTTATTTTCCATTCTTTAACCATATTTTTTAAAAAATCAACTAGATTTGCACTTGTATGCCGGTCCGAATATTCGATGCATCCAATAAGTACTGATTCCAATTTTGTTTCTGTTAGATTTGAAATCATAAAATGAGCGGTCATTGCAGTAAAACTGATATTATTTATTGACGTCCAACTATCAGTAGTTAAACATACTGCATTTGCTTTTTCTAATTTTAATTCTACGTTTTCTTTTTGTTTTTCATAAATTTTCGGCAAAAGGGTTTCCGACAAGGTTTTTCTTGTTGGTAATGAGTATCCAGGACACAGCATGTTTAAAAATTTTTGAAATTCTTTATCTTCTACCATCCTTAAGGGATAAAATCCTTTGGCAATCATCAGCATTAATTGTTCATCAATTTTTTCAGCCCTTCGAGGTGGCATATTTTTTATTGATTGCGCAAACTCTCTGATTGAGGGCTGCGAAATTAAATGAGAAGTTGAAGGAACTGGCACGAAATTTATACCAGCACTTACCCCTGGCTCTGGCTCTGGCTGTTGTGCTCCAGTATTCAAAACTTGCCTCTCAATAACAAGGGATACAGTGGGATGTTTAGTTTTCATGTGCCTTCCCAAATTTCCTATATTGCCTGTCGATATTTTAATTACTTGTCTGCAATAATTGCATTTGGCCATTTTGGGTTCTGTCTCCTCAAAGTGATTCCACAGGGCACTTCTTTTTCTTTGAGAAGTCATAATGATTAGCAAAGTACTTAGGTATTTACACTTTACACAGTCTTTTTCTTCAAAAACACTTAATCATTGATCATAAAACACCACTTTTTACTAGTCCGAACTAACTAAAACGAATAATTAAACTTTTAACTAAACAATATTTGAATTAACTTAGAAATAACAAAACAACGATGTTTATTTTGTTTACAAACAAACCATAAACTCGTATTCCAATAAGAATTTTCAAATTTCTCATACTTGCAAAAAAATCATAAAGCATTTTTATCCTTTACGGCAATGTAATAAGAGCTATTTTACAATGACGTATTGAGCCGAAGAGTCGGTCAGCGAGCGACATGCGAAATCGTTCACGTTCATCGGAGAAGTTCGGTCCCGTTCGGGCATTGTCGGAAGTCGAGCCGCTCTCGGCGTGTATCGTCGCGTGTCGGCATCACTCTTTCACTCGTAACTCGCTCTCGCTCGCTAAGCCACAGATACTACAGATAGAGTCAATGAGCGACTGAGCTAAATGAGCTAGTGAGCTACTCCGAGAACGACTGAGCTACTGGGAGCTAGATTGAAATCAAAGAGCTAGCTCAATTTTATCTCTCATTCGCGAGCTACCCATGTCTACCCAACACTCATAGCCAACAAACTCCAAAACTCCGCAGCCGCCCTAGGCGACTGGTTCCGGAGATGGAGAATAGAAGTAAATCCCGACAAGAGTCAGGCGGCACTGTTCAACAAACCCCGCACTCGCCAACTCACCCTACTGTGGACTGACGTATCGAAGGTCAGAGTGTAGCAAAGGGTGTGCAAGGGATTTGGGACTTCAAAAAAATTAAAATTCTTAAAAATGCCTAGTTTTCTTTTTCCATCGCTTGGTACACCTAAAAATAAAGCGAAACTCATCTGAGCACTTTTTGTCTAGGACTTCCCGTTCGCCTGCAAATGAGCTCTGAGAGTCGCTTGGTGATAACAGAAAATTTTTGACCAAAATTTTTTTTACACAATATTCCCTCGTTTTGATTTCTATCGTGTAGAGGGATGAAAAACAAACACTTTTCATTCTGATTATTTTTCGTCTATCGTCAGAGGGTTGGCGGGAAATAGTCGTCGAAACCTAAATATTGCTAAAAAAAATCAAAAACAATATTTATTTATAATACAATGATTAAAAACGTATAGAACACAAAAAAAGAATTGATATTTCCATTGGAACTTTTTAGCTGAAGTTAATAAAAAAAAATCATAGAGAAATTCCCGACACGTCTTGTGCGTGTGCCCGCTCGCGCGGGAGTGCCAGCGCGACCCGGTGTCTGCGTGATATCGATGTTTTTGCCAAATTTCGGCAAGTCGATGTAAGCGACGCATTTCTGAGCAAATTTTGCTCTCAAATTTCGATTTGTTTGTGCGTTTGGTGTTTGAAAGTATTCTTTGCGATCGTAGATTTATAGTTTTTCTTATTTTAGTATTCTTTATAGTTTAATTATTCCTTTTTTTAATATTTTTAATAGTTAGTAAGTACGTAGTTAGTTAATTAGTTAGAAGTAGATTTTAGTTTTAGATTTAAGTTTTCTTATTATTTTATTTTAGTTTTACAGTAGATTTAAGTTTCATTTTTATTATATTATATATATTTTTAATTTAACATGGACCCGCTGCAGTTGATTTTGGCGCGCAATTTCAATTTATGGAATTACGCTTGCGCAATTCCTAATGAGGAGACTGCGGTGACTGCAGCCAAAGCGTGGCTGCTTATTCCAGCCCGGACGCCTAGGTGTCCAACATGCAGAGGCCCCATGTCTAGAGAGACCAAAATGAGCTACAAGCTTAAGTACCGATTAAGGTGCTGGAGGTGTGCTAGGGAGGGCAGGCCGTCCATTAGGTCCCCTCTTAAAAATACGTTTTTTGAGAGGGCCCACGTTAGCGTGTTAAACACGCTATCTTATGGTACATTTCTTGAGAAAGGATAAAGTGTCGCAGGCGGCAAAAGATGTTGGGGTTACAAAGAAAACGGCAATCCAAACATATCATTACCTAAGAGAGGTGTGCGAGGGGCACCGGACTTGTAGCATAGGGGGGTAGCATGAGGGGTCAGAGACTCGAGAGGGAAATTTGTGGAGGCCGAATACCGTGGGGGTGGAGGTGCTGTAAAAATGACGGCTACATTAATGGCGTCGTCGGTCGCAGGCAGCAGATTACTCGTACCGGGTGCACGAAAAAAGATTTTAATTGCGACGGCGACAATTGGGGCTGCTACACCGGCAGTTTCTACTCTTGATGCCCCTTTTCCCTAAACCGGGATAGACCCTATGCATATCCCTTAGTAGCCGGCGAAATCGAGCCGCGTCTGATGGGAGCTGTCTTAAAATGTTGTGGCGGTACATGTATTCTCCCATGTACCACTTAAGGCGACGCTGGCTTCGACATGTCCGACAATGCCTTTTTAGTTCTAGCCACTGCCGCTCCAGGGTGTTGGTGTGGATTTTTACCTTTACGTTCCCACCTGGAGCCGGTACCCCCAGGGGAGGTATCTACGGGAATGTCAACCGTGCCCCCGACAAAGTTCAGGCTGTGGTTGACAGCTGAGTGACCCCTCA